CAGATGTTTTGAGACAATTGCTGTTTTGACACGACTTTGGACGGCATCTTTGGCAAACTTGAAGACAGCGGTTAGACATTGAGCTAAAAAAATAACGCATTTAATTTTTTCAGGTGTTCCCAGATATCATTCCAGAAATGTGTTTCTTCCAGAATTTCGAAAGTTATTTCAGAATTTCAAACTTTCATATTTTCAAATGTTCAAATTTTGAAGATTCAGAAAGGCAAAATCTCCAGGATTTCAGAAATTCAAAAATTCCTTATTCCAGAATTTCAGAAACTCAAAAATTCCTTATTCCAGAATTTCAGAAACTCAAAAATTCCTTATTTCAGAATTTCAGAATTTCACAATTTCACAATCGGCCCGGTCGGCCCGGAAGTTTACCGCGAACTTCAAAATCTTGAGCGATAAGTTGAATCATTGTTTCGAAAAAAGGTATTCAGTGTTTTTTTTCTTCGAGTTATTTCTCAATACATTCTAAAAATCAATAAATTCATTTTCAAAAACAAAAACAGCATAATTTCATAACAATTTTCAAATATAACAAAAAGAAAACATAACAAGTAAAGTAAGGACAAAAATGGCGGCTGTTTAAATTCATTTTTCAAAAATTTTGTTTTTTTTCTGCCGGGCCGGGCCCTGAAAATTTTCTCTCGGCCCGGCCCGGCCCGGGCCGAAATTTCACAAGTATGCTTTTGATCTGTTCGAAGAAGTACAACGAGTCGAGCCAGGCTTTGTGTATTGCTAGGAGTCTGGTCTACTGAACGCCAGGAATGCATCTGAAACAGGAAGTCAAAAAGAATACGATTTCCATGATGCCATCACCGTTAACTTCAAGCAGAAGATAACTACCATCATTTGATTGTCTACCATCACTTCACAAACATTTCGTCTACGATGTGAGTTTTATTATATTGCACTCCTGCTGAAATTTTTCTTACGTGATATTCAGCAACTAAAAGCAAATCGAAATATTCCTGTTTCAGGCAAGATCTTCGAGACAACATTATCGCCTAATTTCAATAAAAGAGCTCATGGATAGAGACGGATCAGCTCAAAAAGGATAATCTTCAACTTTCATTATGAAGCGAGAGGTCGTTCAAGAGCTCCGGAAGAAAAGCCGCATTGGGTAACTCTATCGGAACATTGCAAGATCTTCTGGATGGTCTAGTCATTGGCCGAGAAGCCGTCGGACTCTCAATTCAACCACTCATGAAGTTAATGGTCATCACGAAGAATTTTCGATGACTTCTACCTGGGAATACCTGCTGCTGCTTTGTTCAGATCGTTCAGCATAAAAAGCGACATGAACATTCAAATAACTCTTTTTCCGAAATAAATTGTTTTGAAATTTTGATGTGGCTAGGGCTCACAATTGTTCTTTCTTTTACAGGTTTGCCCGAAAATTCTTTAAAATCATCCTAGACATCTTTGGCATCGTGTGATTTTTTATTGAAAATTATTATCCTTCGTTTGTGAGTCCATCCATAATTGTTTTACCTATTTGAAGCCGTTGTCCGAGAGGACTACACGGCGTTTGGTATTCTAGTCCCCGGCCTCACGCCCACCCGCACAACGCTCGACTTTTCCTTTTTTCGGCTGATGATTCGCTGTTTTGGGGGGATATTTCTTAATATTGAACCGTTTTCAGCCATCCCTGATTACAAGTAATACTTTGAATTTATTGAAAAGTTGTATCTTTCGGTTTTCAATCCATTCCATAGCTATTTTGTGGAGCACTGTACAATAATGTGTAAAACTTGAAAGGGTATGATTTTGTAATTTACAAATTTTCGATAAGGTTTTTTGTTTTTGAGATGTGCTCATGTTTTGTAATTATTAATAGTACCTTTTCAGTCCCTTTTTAGTAGTCCTGATCTTTGCCTATACAAAATTTTGACCTAGTTTCACGACACGGACGGAATTAATAGCTTTGGTACCGTAGAAATTTCAAATTTTAAATCGAATGGCGTTCACAGTTTTTTGATACCTTTCTCCATTCTCGAGTTATAATCGAAGACAGGGTTTCCTATCATTATTGAACGCACTTTAAAAGACTGGCAAAATCAGAAAACAGGGAAGCTTGATTTCAATTATCCCACGAATGTGCCAAAATATCAAGGGTCAAAATGTTGTATCAAATTCGAATAGAATCATTAATTAATTCAGCAATTGTAAAAAAATACAAATAGTATGAATTTTTATTCAATTGCAATAAAATTGGTTCGTCAATAATTGTAGATAGAATGTTTTGTCACTTCCTGGAATGAAGAACATAATATGCGAGTTTCGGATTTTGACGACCTTATGAGTTTTTCCTTGCGCTTCTTCGTCTTCGTCTTCTTCTTCTTCTTCTTCCAATTCTTCATCTTCTGGTTCTTCATTATTATGACCTTCTGTTTTTTTTGAGCTTCTGCTTTCTCTTCATTCGAATTCGAATTTTGCCACATAAACTGCTTGTGCTGCCCCCAATCCTTTCAACAATTTGTTCCAATCAGGTAAAGTCCTTATATTCTTCGTAATTGAGAAGCACTTCAGGTTTGAAAAAGTTAGCTATACAACGGCTCAAGTGAAGTCGAATGACTTTTTGACGCTTCTTGTTGAACCAGGAATGCATCTGAAACTTTTTTCAGTTTTGAGGCTTGAAATGTGTTTACTTACAATGAACCAACTGATCTCAGTCTGCTTTTCAAACTCATTCTCTTCTTGTCTTCCTAGAAATTGATGTTTCTGGAACAAGCTCTCTAGAATCGGCTCTGTTACGGTTTCTTGAGCTGTTCATTCCGAATTCGTCGTTGAACGAACCAGTTGCCGATCTGAAATAAAATGGTATGAAAAAAAACAAAGATGTCACTTTTGTTTGTCCGCAGACCAATTTTTTTTGATAAGATCTTTATTTCCATAGTCCATAAAAAATATCGTTATCATAAATTTTGACCAATATTTCGTCAGGCGGGGTTTGTGGATCCTCCTGCACTGTCTTGCAGCGACGTGTGAATAAGATTTTTTGTTAAACAACACATTTTCCAAACGTATTTTGCTGACTCCCCTTCAAATCTCAATTATGGGACGTAAAAGAATATGTAAAACTTTGAATGTAATAGAATATTATACGCTATGAATATTAGGATTTTCAAAAAAATCAATGGGAATAGATTCCCGACGTCCATACAGAAGGTCGGCTGGGAATCTATCGGGGTAGAAAGAGGAATGAATGCCAATGGTTGCTACCTGAGGGTTTATATAGGCAGAGTCAGGGGCGGAGCTTTCACCCCGTCTTCACCTTTCCACAGATTTATAGTCTGATTTACGAACACAGTCATTGTTTTAGGGATCAATAGAGTGTAACTGCAGATAATAAAATATTAATGGTGTGAAGACACTCAACTGCGATTCTGGGAAGAAGAATGCCGTGACGAATGGGAATAAGTTATACAATTTTTTTCAAAAATCACTTTTTGGAAATAATGATTTTTCTCTAACAATAATCTCACTTTTTCCCAAACTACATGGAATTTTTTTTCAGGAATTATCATACAAATTTAAAGAATTTAGGCAATAAAATTTCAGGGAGTAGCCATTGTTGTGTAAATTCTACTAGTCTTTTACAGTGCGGACAAAAGTTATTGATTCAGTCCGTGTCGTAAAAATAGGTCCAAATTTTTGAAAAGCAAAGATCAGGAGAGACAATAATTCATAAGATACTGAAAAATATAACCTGTTTCCTCATCTTTCCCCCAGTTGAAAAACCCAAAATTTTCAACGACTATGATTATCCGATTTAACGATTCCCAATTAACTGGCCCTCCACAATATCTTATATGTCCTCTGCAATTTTTCAATTCTTCTATGTTTCTTTTGATTCTCAAAAACAGCATTCTGAGTTGGTTCTGAATAATTTTTTTGTCAAAAATGTTTTTGTTTTATACTTATTCGAGATTGCTTTTGTCCTCTGGAAATATCTGTGAACTACTTTTCAAATGCAAAAAAATCAAATTTCAGATGTGCACACCAAGATCCCGAAGGGTCGTGACAATGGTCACCTCTTCCGCCCATCTTGTTCATTTGCTTCCGTTGAAGACAAATTCAGGTTTCAGCAATTCAGTGATTATCCAATCTTGCCACTATCGCACCTTTCCACAATCCGATGAGCAGTTCTCGGAGAAATTGTGTCCACTTTGCGACTGAAGGATCAGAGAAGGCTCTCATCATCAGTTGTCAGGTAGGAGAGTGAGTCTGTTGCAAAGGGGTGAATGCAGACAGTAAAGATTCACGTGTTGTCAAAACCCGAAAGTCAAAACATCTGCATTGGTTTTTCTTGGAAAGTTTAAAGCAAGCGCATTGATAGTAATTCTCAGAAAAGAATAAAGGCGTGTGTGTTCCGTATTTTCTTGAAAGTGCAGGGGCGATAAAGCTGGATTCTCGAATACCGGGGGAAACCGAGAAACAATTCAAGCTCATGAAGAACTTGAAACTCTGATCTTCTTTTCAATTTCTAGAATTACCGTAATCCTCCAAACTTTTTTGAGATATCTTTTCAAAATCTAATCATATAATCATTATCTCTTAATGAAAGTGTACTCGAGAAACGAGTACTACTTCGTAGTTATTCTTCAAGCTCAGAACTATTTTGGACGTGACGTCACTGTTCTTTGCTCTTTTGTATCCCCTGCAACAGTAAGAATGCAATAATCTGCTCTTACAGATATTTCTTTTCATATGACTCACTTTCCCCCTTTCTTCTTTATCTTCCCACATCACTTTAATGTTAACTCCTCCCACTTTATTGTACTATATAAGCCCTCCCGGCTTCTTATCTTTGTGTGTGTGTGTGTTCATATCCCAATAAACCATATAATCCAAAACAGAAAGTATTTCCCGAAAACTGAAAAATTTGCATTGGTTTTTCTTGAAGAATTTGAGGCAGACACATCAATAGTAATTTTCAGAAAAGAGTTAAAGCGTCAGTATTATTCTACCATCTCGTGCAAAGGCCCAGGCAGGATAAATCTGGATGTCTGAAGACCAGGGATAAATCAAAAGCAATTCGAGCTCATGCAGAATTTGGCAATTCGAAGAAGTCCTCGTAACGACATGCATTCAGATAAATTCGTTTATTATTATAAAACATAGCTCTTTTTCAAAAAAAAAAACAGAAAAGTCTATTATAGTGAAGGAGTGGCCTATCGAAAATTTATTATCATTGCTGCGATGTAAACTCTAAACAGACAGATCAGCCTGGATCGCAACGCACATGGTTGGGTCGTTGAAAGTCTATCGGAGGTCGTTGTAGATGTAATGGAAGAGCACTTATCCATATTATCTCAGTTTACAGCAATCCCTCCTTAAAGGTGGGGGGACAGGAGATTTTTCGTAGTTTTTTTGTAGCTAGAGTATGCATTCTACCGTCACGGTGTACAACGCTTAATGTCACTATGCGTACAGCTGTCGTCCTCGCCTTTATGTATGCAATCGGGCGTGCGCTTTCTCTTTGCCTGCGTGGCTCAGTCGGTAGCGGCGCCGCACCCTCAATCATCGCCCTCACAAGTTCAACTCCTCGAGAGGCATCTTTGAACGGAATTTCGAGAACATTATTTTTTTCATGTCCCCCCACCTTTAATCGGTTACGGCATCGAGAGGATTCCTAGTTAGGGTTGTGCCTTTTCTTCGACTTAATTATAATTTATCCAAAATCAAATCGTCCGCTCTCGTTCGGTCCATTGGTGACACACACTAATTTATACTTTTTTGGTGTCCTCGGGAGCATAGATTACAGCATTTGTTCTTCCCTGCTCACCATTAGGAAGAGAGCATGAGAATCGAGAAGCAATTCCTCACGATAGGTTTTCAATTTTTATGCGAACACATTATTCTTTAGGGACCTGCAATACATACCAAATTTGTATGACTTAATAATATTTTTAGATCATGGTGATTTGACTTTTTTCAGAAGCTGTAAAATTTCATTTCACTTTTTTCACTTCGAATTTTTATTGGGGGCCTTCATGGTTTTGATATTGCCACTCCAGACGGCGCTGAAGGCGACACGACTCCACAACTTATCTTCCAATTAGAGATGGCTGGAAACATTTCAATATTAGGATAAGCTCACCTCCGAAAAACGTCTAATCGGAAGATTTGCAAAAAAGAGGTAGAAAAAAATCGAGTATTGGGTGGATTTACGTTGGCCGTTAGGCCGAGGAACTGGAATACCAAACGTCGTGTAGTCCTCTCGGACAAAGATCTAGGTTGGATAAATCATTTTTTCTTGGAAGGATTCACGAACAAAAATAAAAGTTTTTCAATGAATTCACACGTTTTCAAATACGCCTAAAAATATAGTTTGAAATATTGAGCGAATTCTTGTTGCCCCTAAAGACGGCGTTGAAGGAGACGTTTTGAATTTCCACAGCATGTCTTCCGATCAGAGATTGCTGAGAACGTTTCGGTATTATGGGTATTATGACAAAATTACACTAAAAAGAACGTAGAATATTTCGATTCGGGGAAAAATAGGGAAAAAAGAAAACAATTGTGTAGATTTACTGTGGCCGTTAGGCCGGGGGAATAGGATACCAAGCATCGTGTAGTCCTCTCGGACAACGGCTCCAAATAGGTAAAGCAATTATGGATGGACTCACAAACGAAGGATAATAATTTTCAATAAAAAATCACACGATGCCAAAGATGTCTAGGATGATTTTAAAGAATTTTCGGGCAAACCTGTAAAAGAAAGAACAATTGTGAGCCCTAGCCACATCAAAATTTCAAAACAATTTATTTCGGAAAAAGAGTTATTTGAATGTTCATGTCGCTTTTTATGCTGAACGATCTGAACAAAGCAGCAGCAGGTATTCCCAGGTAGAAGTCATCGAAAATTCTTCGTGATGACCATTAACTTCATGAGTGGTTGAATTGAGAGTCCGACGGCTTCTCGGCCAATGACTAGACCATCCAGAAGATCTTGCAATGTTCCGATAGAGTTACCCAATGCAGGCTTTTCTTCCGGAGCTCTTGAACGACCTCTCGCTTCATAATGAAAGTTGAAGATTATCCTTTTTGAGCTGATCCGTCTCTATCCATGAG